AGCCTGAGCCACACTTCTCGTCACTGATTACGCTGGCTCTGCAGGACCACTTCATTGCCCCTGCCCTTGCTGCGACTTCGGCCCAGGTTGCTGTCTCCAGCCCATCTGAGACGGAGCCGTTGGCTGACACATCCGCATCCACCCTCGCCACCAAGCTGGCGCCAGTGAGAAACCCCATTTACTTGGTACACCAGGCATCTCTTGGCTCAGCCAACATGCACGCTGACTGGGTGGGGTTTGACGTCCTGCTGCGACCCGTCATCATGGGCGAGTGCAAAATGAGCGCCCAGCACTTTGACGAATTTGGTGGCCAAGTGGGCAACGAGGTTGTGCGCCTTGGCCTCTTAGGACCGAAATACAAAATGCGAAAGGACAGGCAGCACCCACTTCACCCCTTCATCAACATTAATGTGTGTGGTGACATTGTGACCGCTTATCTGGTCCTGCACTTGACCAGCAGTAACATGGTTGCCACGATTCAAAAGATGAAGGGCCTTGAGAAGGAATACTACGTGGCTTTTCTCCGACTTGGATCCGCCCAAATCTCCAAAAACCGCGCCGACCATCAGGCTGTCTGGGCGCTTTTGACCGCTTGCAGAGAGTTTGTGACGGGTCGCCAGCATCAGATTATCGAAAGCGGTCATCGATTTCCGCTTTCCTCCGAGCCCTTTCCCTGCCCGGCTCGGGGCATGGCCGGATGGACCTGCAAGGAAACGTACGGGCCCAATGTGCAGCAGTACGTGCATGACAGTGCGGGCTCGTGGGTCATCAAGCACTACGACTATTGGGGCCGCCAAGCCGAGTCTTTGGGTACAACAATGTACCAGATTGGCGATGACACTGCCCGCCTCCCACCATCACGCGATCTGCTCCGTGCGCTTGCCGAGTTGCCAGAGACGGGCAAGTTTTACCAGGCGTGGGTGTTGGAGGACCTTGCGACGAGCTTGGTGCTTCTCCGGTACCCACGAGTACAGACGGCCCCGTGCGGCCGTCAGGTGCCAATGCAGCTGATCGATGTCATGAAGCAGGTGCAAGTGTTGCACAAACTTGACTTGGTGCACGGCGACATTTTGCCGCGCAACATTCTCTTTTGCAACAGCTGGCAGCCGGAAGATTGGATGTTTCAGCCGCCCAGCTGGGAAAAGAAGGAGAAAGAGGAGGAGGAGGAGGAGGAGGAGAGCCAGCACAGCCCCGAGGCTCAGTCCGGCAATGTGACGCCATGTCAAAGCCGTCAGCCCTCGCACGACGAGCTTTCACTGAAAGACCTCGTCGTGGAAGCGGTCGCAGAGGAAGAGACTGTGCAAACGCAGCAAAGGCCGAAGCCGATGGCTTTCCTGATTGATTTCGACCTGGGTGGGCCCTGTGATGAAGCAACGTATGGACCTCGTTACAACTACCAAGGCGGCCTTGAAAATTACCGCCACGCCAATGCCAGGCCCGGCGAGCGTTTACAAAAGGAGCACGACACCTATTCTTTGGCACGTGTGGCCGAAGATCTGCTCGAGGACAACGACGCCCGTAAACGGCTGGTCAGGGCGTTGGAGGCGGTCAAGTTGGACGAGGCGATTGAGTTGTGCAGAGCCTGCACTGGGCGTTCAAGCACAAGCGTGATCGCTACGGCATCAGGTAGTCCACCACGCATCAAGTCTTAATCCAACTCTCTCCTACCTTGGCAAATGTTGTCCTTTCCCAGAACCAGCTTGATTCGGTTTGAGCGGACGCCGCGTGGCTATTCAATCATGTCAAGTGTGTCGGGGCTCGGGCTCGGGCTGTGTTTTCATGTGGTGCGGGTGCCCTGCTCAACCCAAGAAAGAATCGTATGGTCGTGCAATGGTTTGAATACTCCGGATGCCATGGCAATTCAGACTCAAGCGCATAAGCTCTGGCTCTGGTCGAAAGGTGTTGGCGAGGCTGCCAGACGGCTCAATATGGCACTAACCACAAACACCCTCCAACGCCAGAAGCCGTTACTCATTGTTGAACTCTCGTTCATCGAGAAGAGGCTGGACCGTCAACACCAGAGTGAGGAGATGGAGAGATGTGTCGTCACATAAACCGCAAAACATGCGATAAAGGAAAACTCAGCACCTTTCTCTCTCTCTCGCTCTTGCTCTCTCTCTCTCTCTCTCTCTCTCTCTCTCAGAATCTCTCTCTCTCTCTCTCTCTCTCTCTCTCAGAATCTCTCTCTCAGCATATCTCTCTCTCTCTCTCTCTCTCTCAGAATCTCTCTCTCTCTCTCAGAATCTCTCTCTGTGTCTCTCTCTGTCTCTCTCTGTCTCTCTCTGTCTCTCTCTCTCTCTCAGAATCTCTCTCTCTCTCTCAGAATCTCTCTCTGTGTCTCTCTCTGTCTCTCTCTGTCTCTCTCTCTCTCTGTCTCTCTCTCTCTCTCTCTCTCTCTCTCTCTCTCTCTCTCTCTCTCTCTCTCTCTCTCTCTCTCTCTCTCTCCATTTACGGAAGTGAAGCACGATCCAGAAGCGAGAGAGGAGGAGGGCTGGCACGGTGTCGGTCTCAAGTTCTTTTCGCTTGCAAAGTGGGGTGGAGGCGTTGGGCTGTCAAGGCCCGGGCGCGTTTGTGTTTGGACACACGGCCTCCCCCTGCGGGGGGCGGCTCCCTTTTTTTTCGCTTTTGATGAGCCATGTTCACCATGACCGTGATCTGGCTCCCTGTGTTGCTAGCAGCCTCGGCGGCAGGTACGGCGCTGTCTCACGTGCTGATGTTCCGACTCGCACGACCAGGCCTCGGGACCTTGGCGGTGCCAGGTTGCCAGCCAAGTTCTCACCCTGTTTCACTTGGTGTAGCTCTGCATTACAACGAGTGGATCACCATCTCTGCCGATCCCTCGGTACCCCATGCCCGTGTTGGTCATGCGGCCTCGCAAGGCAGCAACAATCGCTCCATGGTGGTTGGTGGTCCTGATTTTTTTGATCTGCCTCGCCCTTCGACTCCATCTCGCCTTGTTACCCCTTGATGTCGTGGAAGCACTTGCCAACACCACACCTGCCCAACCCAACATATCAGGTCTTTGGCGGTCGTCCCTCCCGCGTCAATGAATGGGATGTGACCCACCACGACTCCTTGGCAGACACCTGGCAGCTCCGCTGGACGTCGACTGAAGGTCAGTAGCACCGGTTTGCCTTCCATCACCCCACCTTGTCGCGGCGTACCCTTCATTTTCTTTCTCTCTTTGATTTGATCAGGGGACTGGATGTGGGAGCGGGTCGTCCTGGCCGATCAGACTGTCACTCCCCCGGTCCGCTTTGGTCACGTGATGGAAACCGTGACCATCGGCTCGGACGCCCAGCGAATGGCCGTTCTTTTCGGTGGCTCCAGTTGTTTTGAGGATTATGACGATATTTGGACCCTTGACCTCAACACCATGACCTGGAATAACGTGCGCTTCTCTCAACCCGCTTGTCACCCTTGTCGCTTCTACATGCGTCATTCCATTCGCCCACATACTCACACACCTTGCTCGCATGCTTTTGTCACACACGGCCCAGGTGACGCCAGACTGGAATGACACGTCGCGCGGCCCGCTGCCTCGTGCAGATATGGCCAGCGCCGTCATCAATGACCAGTTGATTGTCGTCCACGGCGGTCAACCTTGTGCCGGCACCTGTAACCTCAACTCAACTGCGCACACCCTTACCACTCCGAATCAAGATTCCGCCCGTCAGTACTCCCCAACAACCGCCCACCATTCGTGTTGCGCTTGCCTTGTTCTCAGATATTCTCAAAAAAAGTCAACAATTCCTTAAACGCATTGGCTGCGACCGTGCTCATGTTTCCGCCGGCTTTTTTTCTTCTTCTTCTTTTTCTTCTTTTTTTCCTTCCTGATAGTGGCCTGTGATCTCATGATGCTCAGCATCAATGCGAGTGTACCCGCTTGGACTCGGCTAGAGGCTATCAACCGCACCCACTGCCCTGTTGATCGCTATTGGCACTCCCTGACCTTTGACACCAACACCCAGTCCCTGCTCCTTTACGGAGGCTTGCAAGCAGGAACCAGTCTGCCTGCCCCCAACGTTCTCGGCGATCTTTGGCAATTCCACCTCAGCACTCAAACCTGGTCCTGTCTAGACAATTGCCTGTTCACGGCTCCTGCCTCGCCTGGCACCGCCAACGGCCTGCAAGGCCCCGCTGCACGCTTCGACCATGCAGCCGCCATGGACAACGGGCAACTGCTCATCTTTTTTGGCCGCTTTGATACGCTCACCTATGCTACAGACATGGTATGGCGCTACGTCTTGGCCAATCATACCTGGGATCTTGTCCTGAGTGATGCACAAACGTACCCGGAACTTCGTGGTGGCATCACTGCCGTAACGGTGGAGCTGCCAGCCAATAGCAATCTGCGTACAACCGCCGAGGGCCTCGGCACGGGCATCATGCTCTTTGGGGGCGAGCGCCAGTACTCCTGGTCTTTGGGCAGCAGTTACAAAGAAGCTTGGATCATGCGCCTCGAGACCCATGCTACTCCCGACACAGATGACGACGATGCTTCCTCTCCAAACGATTTCTCCGTTGTTCGTGCAGGCTTTTATCTCCAGAACAGCGTGTCATATCCAGCCCCACGAACGGACTTTCCCTCAGCTTTCCTACCCCTCCGTCGTCTCTGGGTCATGCATGGTGGCGTCTCTGAGGGACAAGGCTTTCTTCAAGACACATGGCTCCTGGCCTACCGCGAGGAACTGGGTGAGCGCAGTGCCGGATGGACGCGAATCATCAGCGACAACGCTGACACTGCCAGCTCAGCCAGCCTGCCCGCTGCGCGTGCCGGCCACCTGCTTCTTGCAACTACGACCGAACCCGACGACAACGTGCCCGATGATGACTTTCTCATCATGCTTCAGGGCCAATGTCGCGTGAGTAATCTAAAGCTGTGCGCAGACATGTGGCTCTTCAACGTTACATCAATGCGCTGGTCCCGGATGCTTGAGAATGGCCGCCCGCCGCCCCGCCGTTCGGCCTCGGCTGTCTTCCTCAACGTCACCACCATCATGCTCTACGGTGGTCAAGTCTTGGAGGCCAACTACGACACATTGCAGCCCGACGGTGGCATATACTTTTGTGCCCTCGATGCCGGTGCGCGCTCCTGCGCCTGGACGGCGGCAAATGTCGTAGATCACGCTAGCTTTACGCGTCGGGCCACCGGCTTGGAGCTACATGCGCGCTCGTCGGCCCCAGTGCTGGTGGCGCCTAACCGCAGTCACCATGTTGCCGAAATTGTGCAATGCAAAATCACCGCGTGTCGCAATATGAGCACCTCTGGTCGCACGCTCTCCTTTGTAGTCGTTTTTGGTGGGCTGCAGTCCGCAGCAACCGACGCCGAGCTTCAGCATCGCTCACATGGTATCAGAGGGACCTCCAACCTGACAGACCCGACGCGTCTAGGCGATGACACATGGATTTTGGCCCTAGAACCCTCCTCGCACACAGCCACCTGGATCGAGGTGTGTCCCTTGACCGCGAGCGTCGTCTGGGGCTGGCAGACACATGGGCTGCCGTTGTTGCCGGACTGCTCGATGACCGTCCCCACAAAAGTTTTGAACTCACTGGTGATACTTTGCTCCCATTATCCTTAGCTGACCAGCATCGTCAAGCCCTCTCGTCGGTGGCAAGCGGCGTCAACGACCTTTGGCGCTTGCAAGGTCATCGTCACGGGCGGCTTCTCCGATTCGGATGTTCTCGCTGACACTTGGTTGCTAGGTACGACCTGACGATCTCCAATTTTTGCAGTTCCTAAATATGTAAAAACACCGAGCTCATTGATATTTCCCTTTAGATCTTTGCTCTGATTCACACGTGTGGATGGAACTGCGCATGCTTGACCAAACCGCGGCCTTGGCGCGTGCGAGCCACTCACTGCTGCGAATCAGCACCAATATTGCCCCCAACATCACGTTGGCCAGTACAGCCAACAGCCCCAACTACGCCCTTCTCATTGTTGGTGGAACCTCCCTCGACCGGCGACCCGTTGAAGCAGAAGAGATTCCACAGGCAAGTGTCTGTAAAATCCGACTTTTGTTTTTGCTGTTCCCGAATCTGATATTCTTCGCTTTGATCGCAACTGACTTTGTCCTCCACCATTTGCCGATGTCTCCAGGCCTACCCTGGTTGCAATCCTGGCTTTTATTCAACAGATTTGGCGACTGCATCGTGCAAGCCCTGTTTGCGAGGTGCCTACACGGAGGCTGCTGGCGAAACGGCCTGCACAGCATGCCCAGCCGGCACCACGACGGGTCAGTGGGCATGCAATCGCAGCTTCACCACCGGGTTTTAACAGGGGCTTTAACCCTTGTGATTGGCCTAACCTAACATTTTGCTTGCTCTTACTTGGTTTGTTCTTGGCAGTCGAGGGCGATGTTAGCTTTCTCGACTCGGGCCCGGACTCATTGGCATCTTGCTCCGTTTGCGTACCAGGTCAGAGACGCTTGTTTTTTTCTGTCGTCGCCCTTTCCTGGCGTAGACACCGTCCCAGGTGTGGTCTCGTCTTCTCATCCGATTCTGTGTGCAACGGCACTGCAGACTTTTGTCATCACGGCTACTGTCGAATTGACAACATGACTTCAGAGCCCGTTTGCCACTGCCAAATTTGGTACACGGCGCAATCCAGGTAGGCCAAGAGCGCACAAGCTTTTACGATTGAATTGGCGGCTGACTACGACCATCCGTTCGCTCATCCACTTGTCATGCAGATGCCAGCACTGGCAGTGGTGGGTGTTTTTGATCCTGGCCGTTCTCAGCAGTTCAGTTGTGGTGGGCATCACGTACTGCCTCTTGCGTCGCAGGTATGCCTCTGCCTTAACCGATGCTCTCTGTCCAAAATCCCTTCAAACTGACTTGTGCTGCACGGTTGCCTCTTGCGTTATCAGCTTCAGCAAGCCGCTCAGCAAGTTGCAACGCAACCTGGAGCAACGAACAGAGCAGGTGCGTGCCCTCACATATATCATCTACCAAGAAGGCAACACAGCAGAGTTTGGCGCCAGCTCATTTGCTCGAATCCCATCTAGGCCTTGACTTTGGCTCGGGTGTTCCAAATTCAATGGAGTGAGCTCAAACTGGAAACCAGGATTGATGCAGCCGCCATGGGCACATATGGTCAAGTGTGGCGCGCCAAGTATCACGACCGATCTGTTGCCGTCAAGCTCCTTAATGTAAGACCAAGCGCTGAGTTGGTCGTGACGGGTCGGTGCTCATGATTTGGTGCTCATGTCACTGCCCTCCATAGCCGGTGATGGTCCACATGGATGAAAATTTGACCAATGATTTTTTTCGCGAAATCAGGTGCGTGCTTGCCAAACACTTTTTTGTGCCCCCGTGGCACCTAGCAACACGTGGTCGTCTCGCCTGCGCTCATGCCACACCTTTAGGATGATGCGCATGATTCGACACACCAACTGCGTGTTTTTCTACGGTGCTGGACAGGAGCCAGAAAAAGGTGTGTGGGCTCGAATCAGACCATGTCCCATCAGGCTTTGCTGACGGATCTTCAATGTTACCTCTTGCGGCGTTTAGGCAGCCCATTTTTAGTAACGGAGTACATGGAGCTCGGCAGCTTATCTACGGTGCTGAAGGTGGGATTTCGCAGGACCATTCGTTGCCTTGTTGCGCGTTGCGTCCGCTCACTTGTCCTTGTGCTCAGGATGGATCATATCCGCTTGACTGGGCTCGACGCTTGGCCTTTGCCCTGGATGCTGCGCGGGGCATGGAACACCTTCACACGCGCACGCCTGTCTGTCTGCACCGCGATCTCAAGGTGCGAAGCTTGAGCATCGCAACTTGTGCTCGCGTATAAGTCTCTTTCTCTGTCTTTGTCTCTGTCTCTGTCTCTGTCTCTGTCTCTGTCTCTGTCTCTGTCTCTGTCTCTGTCTCTGTCTCTGTCTCTGTCTCTGTCTCTGTCTCTGTCTCTGTCTCTGTCTCTGTCTCTGTCTCTGTCTCTGTCTCTGTCTCTGTCTCTGTCTCTGTCTCTGTCTCTGTCTCTGTCTCTGTCTCTGTCTCTGTCTCTGTCTCTGTCTCTGTCTCTGTCTCTGTCTCTGTCTCTGTCTCTGTCTCTGTCTCTGTCTCTGTCTCTGTCTCTGTCTCTGTCTCTGTCTCTGTCTCTGTCTCTGTCTCTGTCTCTGTCTCTGTCTCTGTCTCTGTCTCTGTCTCTGTCTCTGTCTCTGTCTCTGTCTCTGTCTCTGTCTCTGTCTCTGTCTCTGTCTCTGTCTCTGTCTCTGTCTCTGTCTCTGTCTCTGTCTCTGTCTCTGTCTCTGTCTCTGTCTCGGTTTCGGTTTCGGTTTCGGTTTCGGTTTTGGTTTCGGTTTCGGTTTCGGTTTTGGTTTCGGTTTTGGTTTCGGTTTCGGTTTCGGTTTTGGTTTCGGTTTCTGTGTCTATTCTCGTGTTTTTTGTTTTTTGTTTTTGATGTTGTCTTTCGCAGCCATAACTCATTCTGGGCACTTCCTGTGCCATAGACATGCAACTTGCTGGTCTCCTCGTCTTTGACAGTCAAGGTGGCAGACTTTGGAACATCAACTTTGTTTGACCTGACAGCAGCCAGCGGCTTTCAAAACCTCTCGCCACGTCAACGCATGCTGTCCGTGGCCGAGGACAGTGACAACGAAGACAACGACGAATCTGACAACTACGATGAATCTGCTACGCTGGTATGGGGCAATTCCAATCCGACATGATCCCTGCTGTCGTGATGATCGGCTTATTTGCGCGTTTGCAACATCCTTTTTTTTTTTTTTTTTTTTTTTTTTTTTTTTTTTTTTTTTTTTTTTTTTTTTTCCCGCTATTGTTGGCAGCTACGCCATGTGGATGCGCGCCGTGAAACGCGTCGTTTGCAGTCAACATCAGTGCCCCCTGTGACCATTGTATGACTGACAAGATATGCAAACTTGTAGCGTGTGGGGACGACTCAGTTCCTGGCTCCGGAAACGTTTGATGGACGCAACTACTCGGTCCATTCAGATGTATTTGCCTACGGCATGGTGTTGTTTCACATTATGACACGGTATGCTGCAGCCCATGTATCGAGACAGCGGCCGGCCCAGGTGATGAGGTTCTCATCACCACGTGCTGGTTTCCTCGGCCTACAGGCATGCGCCGCTCTATCCAATGGAGCTCTGCATTGGCCCCTCTCTCATTTTGCGCAAAGCCATTGCATCCGGCTTGCGACCAGAGGTAAGCCCTTGACGCCTGTGACACTGTTCAACAGCCTGGGTGCCTGCGCGTGTGTCTGAGCATGGGTTTTATCAATTTTCAATCGGATTTGCCTTGCCTTCGTTTCCCTGACCATCGCGTAGCTACCAGAGGCCTACCGGCATGTGTTTCCCACTTCGATCAAGTGCTTGATGGAAGCGTGCTGGGTAGCCTGTCGCGAGGATCGGCCGTCTTTCCCGGAAATTGTGCAGACATTGGAGAACATTCGTGACATTGAGCTGCTGCGCAGCGTGGGCGAATGGGGCCAATTGCCGCCTGGAGAAAACATCTCGGTGCCCCAGCGTCGGCGGGCCTATTCCGATAGTGAGCGTACCGGCCTGTCTTTTCCCAGCGCGCCACTTGCATTCTCTGTCAACTCGTAGAAGCCTGGCTGGAAGGAAAGAGATTGAGAGTTGTCTCGAGTTTGAATTTATTCATTCGATGAACTGGATTTTGAGCACAAGCATCCCTCTCCCACGTTTTGTTACTGTGCGGCACAACATTTGGCCAGTGCGTTGTATCTGAATCTCATGTTCGTGTTACCCGTCGCGTCAAAGGCGAACAAAATCAAGCCACGCTCCAGGCAGTGTGTTAGCAAGAGCTGGATGCAAGGCTCAAAAAGGGCGTTGAATTTGGTGGGTCGACAGCGCATCCATCGTAGTCAGCACAACAACACAGGAAAAAAAAAAGAAAGAAAAAAGTGCAAGAGAACAAAGCCAGAAGGCTGCGCGGCGCGGCGCGGCGCCACCAAAGCCAGACCAAGTCCATGCGGCCATCATGGCACGACACGGCGTCAACTAAAACAAGGGTCACAGATCCAAGGGAAACACGGGCAAAGGAGCAAGGCCCCATATTGGGGCATAGAGAGGAAATGGGGTTCAAGGCTCAAGGACCGCGAATGGCAGCATCAGAGAGGAGCCAGACACATGCGCTCCGGCCGCCTGACAGAGTGATTTATCGGTACAGGAATTCAGCTTCGATGTTTTTCTGAATCTCAACCTCCCACTTGTCGCCGTTGGAGAGAAGTTTTTCCTTGTTGTACAAGAGCTCCTGATGGGTTTCCGTGCTGTACTCAAAGTTGGGCCCTTCCACAATGGCATCAACGGGGCAGGCCTCCTGGCAGAAACCGCAGAAGATGCACTTGGTCATGTCAATGTCGTAGCGTGTGGTGCGGCGGCTACCGTCCTCGCGGGGCTCCGTCTCAATGGTGATGGCCTGAGCAGGGCACACGGCCTCACATAGCTTGCAAGCAATGCAGCGCTCCTCGCCGCTGGGGTAGCGACGCAGGGCGTGCTCACCGCGGAAGCGAGGGCTCAAAGGACCCTTCTCAAAGGGGTAGTACACGGTCGCGGGCTTCTTGAAAAAGTAGCGAAGCGTCAGACCGAGACCTGCGCAGCATATTGTAGAAAAAGAGATGGAGCAAGCCAGCCAAAAAAAAAAGGAGAATAAAGCACAGAAGAGCGGGTGAGATTGGAAAAAGTCAGGAAAAAAAAAAAAGAGGGTCGTGAGCAGTTTGCATAAATATGCCGGACCCGCGGCCCAGCCGGCCGTGTATACGTACCGCGGGCAATTTCGGTCGCAAACAGCTGGTTGGCAGAGCTCTCAATGTGCTGCTCGACGCTCTTGGGCTCTGGAGAGAACAACCAGTGTTGTTGTGAGAATGAGAACCTCGACGGTGAGCCTGGCTGGAAACATGACCGAGCCAAAGCGCAAACGAACCGAAACGATAATCGTGCTCCGGGGCCAGCTTCTTCTCAGGCAAATTGGAGACAGACCGAGTGGCCTGGCCCACGAGAGGCAAGCGGGCCACTGCCGGGCAGCCCGTGGCCATGCGTCGAACCAGAGCCGCCATCTATCAGAATCGCGTTCAGTCGCAAGCCACAACGTCTCATGAGCCACACACCCCATGAACACACTGAAACAGGCACTTCAACACCCACAACCCATCGGCACCCCCCACAACCAGGAAACTGATGATTTGTATCTGTTCTTATCAAGTCGCACACCACTCTGGTCCAAGGCGGCTGCCATATGCGACACAACAGCGACGACGGCGACGACGGCGACGGCGACGACGGCGACGACGGCGACGACGGCGACGACGGTGACGTACCTCTTTTTTTTTTTTTTTCCGAGAGAGAGAGAGAGAGAGAGAGAGAGAGAGAGAGAGAGAAAAAAAAGAGAGAGACAGAGAATCGTCGTGGGGAAAGACGGGCACTAACACTTGGTAGTGATAATGTC